AAGGTACAATTGATACAATATGCTGCATACACTCAAAGTGTACAGTTTGATGTTCCGATGCGTGCATGTACTCATGAAATCAACACCATCATCAAAATAGTAAACATCCTTCACCCCTTTGCAACTCCCATTCCCCACCCCCAGGCAACTACTGATCTGTTGTCACTATAAATGTGCTTGCATTTTCTAGAATTTGATATAAATGGAATCATACATTACGAACTTTATCTTGCCTGGCTTTTCACTCAGCATAATTATATTGAGATTCAAGTTGTCACATTTATCAATAGTTTATTCCTTTTTATTGCTGAGAAGTATTTCTTTGTATGGACATACCACGGCTTTTCACTCAGCATAATTATATTGAGATTCAAGTTGTCACATTTATCAATAGTTTATTCATTTTTATTGCTGAGAAGTATTTCTTTGTATGGACATACCATAATTTGTTTATCCATTCACCTGGTGGGTTGTTTCCAGATTTGTATACTACAAACAAAGTTACCACGAGCATTTATCAACAAACCTTTGGACATACGCTTTTATCTCTCTTAAGTAAGTACTTGGAGTGGAATGACCAGGTCATATGGTAGGGATATCTTTAAATCTTTAAGAAACTGTCAAACTGTTTCACAAAGTGGTTGTGCCATTTTATGTCCCCAACCTTGAATGAGAGTTCCAATGGTTTCACATCACCACTTACGTTTGGTATGGACAGTCCTGTCAATTTTAACCATTCCAGAGAGTGTATGGTTTTATCTCATTGTGGTTTTAATTGGCATTTTTCTAATAGTTAATGATGTTGAACATCTTTTAATGGGGTTATTTGCCATCCGTACGTTTTCTTTGGTGTGTGTCTGTTTAAATCTTTTGCCCATTTTTTGTTGGGTTGTTTGTCTTCTGATTATTGAGTGGTAAGAGTTCTTTATATCTTCTGTATGAAAGTCCTTTGTTGTATATATGTTCTGTAAGTATTTTCTCCAAGTTTGTGTCTTACCTTATTTCACAGTGTATATTGAAAAGTAAAAGGTTTTAATTTTGGTAGAGTCCAATTAATTGATTGTTCTGGGATGCAAGTAAGTTACTTAACAGTTTTATCCTTTCTAGACTTGCTTTTTTAAAAATGTTATTATATTGTGGTAAGAACACTTAACATGAGATTTATCCTCTTAAATATTAGGAGTACAATACATTACTGTGGCCAATGGGTACAATGTTGTACAGCAGAGCTATAGAGTTGCTAATCGTATTTAACTGAAAATTTATGCCTATTGATTAACAGACTTGCTTTCAAACTTTGTAGGTGGGGCCAGAGCAACCTTTACTCTCAGGCAAAATTTGTCCCACTCCTGAGGCAGTACTCTTCTGAGTAATCTAACCAATGATCCATATTACAAAGTTTTTCACTTTGGCAGGTGGGAATATGAAGTGTTTCAGGGCCTGAGTCAGCTCCAAGGATTGTTTTCTCCGGCTTTTGTGGGTGTGCCCTTTTATGGGTAACTTCTTCACGCACATGCACTGATCAGTACGCAGCTGAAGAGGGACGCAGGGCTCTCTGTGCAAATCTCCGCTCTAGTGCTCTGCCCTGTGAGCTCTAACCTTCTTGGCCTCCTCCTTCCCAGCTCCATCTTCTCAATGCAGAATGACTACCAGACTCTACCTGGTTCTCCCTCCTACCACTGTACCCTATAAACTCTCTTCAAGAAATAAACTAATATAATCCTAAGGATAACCTCATTTGTTTCCTCTCTCTAAGACAACAGTTATTCTGTCTCTCCTAACAGCCAATGTCTAAAAACCATTGTCTCACTTCTTTTGCCTGTTTTTTTAGTTGTTTCAGACAGGAGTGTAAGTCTAGCCCCGGCTACTCCACCTTGGCTGGAAGTAGAATCCCTCTTTCCTGGGCTGGCCTGGTGGCGAATAGCTCAAAATATGATAAAATGAACTTTTAATAACACTTACATATTCATTGGATATGTTTACTTACCAGAATATAGGTTTAAAAGGTTCTCCTATGATACTCTATTTCTGAAAAACATGCCAATAATAATTTAATAATTTTTAAAAGAACCCATCATGTCGATGTATTTTTACTGTTTAAAAGCTGCAAACCATTACATTATAACTGTTTTAAATCAAAAAGTTTCAATAAGACAAAATAGATAGAAACTTCTCTGGGATCCTTCCCACCTCACAGACCATTCAGAAAATCCAAAGGAATCACTGCACACAAATTACCTCTCCCCTCACCCCTCATTTTATTTTCTTACCAGTATTCTATGACTTGCTTTTAACCTCTTTGATGGCAGAGGAGATTTAGTTATCATAAAATCCATCTTCAACATATTATCCTGGAGTTAAACTCATCGATGAAGAATTAACACTAATGAAACCCAGTGAAACAATGTCATGTAATGAGCCTACTTTAGAAGACACTTCAGACAAAGGAAGAAGAATGAGAGCTGATTCACTTGTCTTAACCAAATTCAATAGCTCCTAATAAAATAGAAAAAGGAAATGAACACTTTGTGGTTTAAATTGCAAGTATTTTATTTTCATTTAGTCATTTGCATTTTTACTTCATTTATGATGATTCCTTGCCATGCATTTTTAAAATTACAAATGATTGTCTTTTAGCTATCAGGAGGGATTTAATTGCAAAATGTGTGTGTGTGTGTATTTATAAAACTGAAAAATGTTGAATTGAGAACCCTCTTCAATGATGAAGTCTGCTATTACCTCTGTTCCTGTTTTTGTCACTGGTTCTGTTGACTTCTTTGAAATGTCTATGGCACCAATACCTTCCTTTCCACACTCATTGTCAACAACCTAAATAGGCATTCATCTTTCACCCCCACACTGCAACCACCACCTAAACATTTCTGCTTCCTATAAATCCCCCCACCGCTAGCCAGATAATATTTTCAAGGCCTAGATGTTTGCGACCTTCCTTTCCACACTCATTGTCAACAACCTAAATAGGCATTCATCTTTCACCCCCACACTACAACCACCACCTAAACATTTCTGCTTCCTATAAATCCCCCCACCGCTAGCCAGGTAATATTTTCAAGGCCTAGATGTTTGCGCACACCTTTCTTCCCACTGTGCGATGGTATGATATCCGGACTCTTTGTATAAATTCAAGAGTACCCTTAAGTTCTCCTCATTCTATCAGTTGAGTATTATCTTTCTCTACTCCCCTATCTGTACTATCCAGAGAGGTCATTTTCCCCATCATAAGCCAAAATCACATACCCCCATTCAACCATGCCCCCCATTATCTAAATGCTCTTTCTTTTCTTCCCCATCCATCAAGATTACCTATAGAATGTTAAAAGGTGACTAAATGCCCTGTATTTTTAATAAATACCACATTCACTCAACTAAGCTTCACTCTGGGCATTTGCTAGGCACAGTGTTTATAAATATAAATAAGACAGTCTCTAACATTGTAGGGTTTACAGAAGAATTGGGAAAAAAGATGTAAAACAGTTATGATAAAGTGTGATACCTTAGATCAGAGGCATATCTAGGAGCAAAGGGGAGGGAAGAATTCATTTTCAATGTAGTAGATGTTGAGAAAGATGTTAGAAATGAGTAAGTATGTGGATTGGACACTTAAGTGCACGAGCTTGCTGATTTGACAAAGGAGAAAGTAATATTCTAGGCAAATGGAACACTCTAAGAAATGGCCTGTGATTAGTGTTCTTCATGCTTTCCTTGAACATCCCAGGAGAGAACCACCTTCCCTATTTACCATGTGACTTCAATCTATTTGGGTCTCAGCTACCTCATGAGTCAAGAGTTAAGAAAAATTGTGTTTACTTCAGAGAGTTCTTGTGAAATATAAACAACATAATAATTATAAAGAATTCCCAAAATGCCTTACACACAGTGAGCACTCAACAAATTGTAGCCATTAGTATTACCTCATCTTTCATTGGATGTGTACAGATTTAAATACATAATTGTTATTTTGGTCACTAATCACACAATACTCTCAATAATCGCCAAACTCTTTACTACATATATGTATTGTTTGTCCTTTTTAAGTGTCTACAAAACAAAGATTAAAGCTTAACCATTTGTTTCACCTTTGTATCAGACAAAATATCTGCAACAGACATTGCTGAGAGAAAATAGCTCAAAATATGATAAAATGAACTTTTAATAACACTTACATATTCATTGGATATGTTTACTTACCAGAATATAGGTTTAAAAGGTTCTCCTATGATACTCTATTTCTGAAAAACATGCCAATAATAATTTAATAATTTTTAAAAGAACCCATCATGTCGATGTATTTTTACTGTTTAAAAGCTGCAAACCATTACATTATAACTGTTTTAAATCAAAAAGTTTCAATAAGACAAAATAGATAGAAACTTCTCTGGGATCCTTCCCACCTCACAGACCATTCAGAAAATCCAAAGGAATCACTGCACACAAATTACCTCTCCCCTCACCCCTCATTTTATTTTCTTACCAGTATTCTATGACTTGCTTTTAACCTCTTTGATGGCAGAGGAGATTTAGTTATCATAAAATCCATCTTCAACATATTATCCTGGAGTTAAACTCATCAATGAAGAATTAACACTAATGAAACCCAGTGAAACAATGTCATGTAATGAGCCTACTTTAGAAGACACTTCAGACAAAGGAAGAAGAATGAGAGCTGATTCACTTGTCTTAACCAAATTCAATAGCTCCTAATAAAATAGAAAAAGGAAATGATGCCTTTTCTATAAATAGGAATATTTACCAGATAAACACAATTATCTACTTTAACTAAAAACTGATTTCCTATAGTATATACAACAACAAGAAGATCATTCATATGGTCACAGGAGCTCTCAGCAGGGTATAAAAAGCAGGAGAGAGCAACGAGAGACCAAACTCAGAACACTCACTCTCCTGGAAACTCACCCAGAGCCTCCATCCTCTGACACCATGGTCAACTCCTGCTGTGGCTCTAGCTGCTGTGGCTCCAGCAGCTGCTGCCCCTCCTGCTGCAGCCCCTGCTGCTGCCGCCCCAGCTGTTGCATCTCTAGCTGCTGCCGCCCCTCCTGCTGTGGATCCGGCTGCTGTGGTTCCAGCTGCTGCCGCCCCAGCTGCTGCATCTCTAGCTGCTGCCGCCCCAGCTGCTGTGGTTCCAGCTGCTGCCAACCCTCTTGCTGTGGTTCCAGCTGTTGCAGCCCCTCCTGCTGCAGCTCCTGCTGCCCCTGCACCAGCTGCTGCCTGCGACCAGTCTGTGGCCAAGTCTCCTGCCACACCAATTGCTATCGCCCAACCTGTGTCATCTCCACTTGCCCCCGCCCCATGTGCTGTGCCTCCCCTGACTGCTGAGTCTCTGCTTTGAACACATCACTTTCTTATCGCCTCCTTCCCCACAGATGAAGACCCATCTTTAAAAAATGTGGAATGCTCAAGAAATCTCCTATGTCCCATAAACAAACCTCATCATAGCAATTCTGTGTCTGCATTCTAATGTCTGTCCAAAATATCACCCTTCCAAATGAATTCATTGAGAATTTCCTAATAAATTGACAAATTGCCCTCAATATTTGTGATGGTTAATTTTAGGTGTCAACTTGAGTAGTTTAAAGAACACATAGAAATCTGGTTAAGCATTATTTTGGGGTGTATCTATGAGCATGTTTCCAGAAGAGATTAGCATGTAAGCCTGAGAGGATGGGGTAGGAAAGACCTGCCCTTAATATGACTGGGTGCCATTCAATCCATTGGAGGCCCAGAAAGAACAAAGACAGAGGAAAAAGCAAATCTCTCGCTCTATTTCCTCTGGAGCTGGGATACAATCTTCTCTCCTGTCTGTGAACATCTGAACTCCAGACTCTTCAGTCTTTGGGTTCAAGGACTTATACCAGCAGCACCCCGAGTTCTCAGGCCTTTGGCCTCAGACTGAGAATCACACCATTGGCTTCCCTGTTTCTGAGGCTTCTGGACTTGGACTGAGCCATGCTACCAGCATCCAGTTTGCAGACAGCCCATCCTGGACTTCCCAGCCTTCACAATCACATGAGCCAATTCCCCTAAGAATCCCCTGTCAGATACTTATATCCATATCCTATTGTTTCTGTCTCTCTGCAGAATTTTGACTAATACAACATTCCTCGTTCTGTCATCAAGAATTTACCACATCTAAGGAATTTGAAGATTCCTTCCATCACTGGTAGGGCCACTCCTTTGACATTAAAGTCCAGTGAAGACTCTCTCTTATAATCCTTTGTAAAGATGTTTTCATACCTTGTTATTTCCACGCACCAAAATAAACATCTATTCTATTGAAGTTGAAAATTGAATGTGATTGTTACTATCTTTCTTTAAAAAGGTTTTATATTTTGGTCCTGGGTAATAGTATTTTTCCTACACCTGTAGGACAGGCAGCAAACATTAGTTAGACTTCTAACAAAAGTCAAACGACATTAATCACTGCCTACTTTTCTCTAGAAAGTGTTTTTCGTCTTAGGCAAATCAACTAATCATTTTGTATCCTTTAGGGGAAAAAAAAGTGAAACTAATTCATGGAACATCCAGGAATATAATAACAGGGAAAACTGAACACATTTCCTGATCTTTTAAAATAACATCTTTCAGATTTTATTTTCTAGCAATAAAAGAAGCCAATAGATGGTTTAGCAAAATCTATGCATTTTCTACTCAGAGCCACGTTCAGCGAACCTATTCTCCACATATATGGTGGATCTGCATCACTCTGACTGGCAGAACTTCAGCGAGGAGCTTGTCCTGCCATATAGAAAGGCCACCTTCAGGGCTATCCAGGTGATGTAAATGAAGGAAGCAGACCTGGTGAAAGCTCATAGGTATTGCTGGAGAATGTAATGCCCCCTTTTCATCAGGATGAAACAATCATGACCCACATTCCTCTCCTCAGCTAGAAATGCCTCTAATAGATTATCCCATATTCAGAACTCCCCAAAGGGTCAGCTGAGACTTTCAGTAAGACTGCCCCAAGTGTGATTTCTCAAGCATCCAATCCTGCTTCCTTCCCTTCCATTCCACAAGTGTAAATCCTAAGATACTCCTCAATAAAACCTACTGCATGCTAATCTCCATCTCAGCATCTGCTTCCTAGGGATCCCAACCTGTCCCAAAACCAATTTGAAATTTATGATAGCTAATTTGAGAGTTGAAATATTGTCTAAAATGTAATTTTAATCTTTTAGTGCAAAATAGAAATAGGAATGTAAACATAATAGCAGAAGACATTTAATGGACTCTATGGAGGAAATTGTTAATTTCATATAAACCACATTTTATATGAATTTACATATCAATTATACACAAATACATGCTCTTTAAAAATTTAAACAACACAAAAGAATGTGACCAAAGGTAAGTTTTCCTTTACCAATCTTTGCCAATCCCATTCAAGACCCATTGTTATAAACAGAGATCCAACTTTATTAAATGCATTTGTACTACATGTATATATTTATTCACAAACCTGGCTTTCGAGAAGAATGTATATTCTATAGTTGTTGGATGAAATGTTCTGTAGATATCTGCCATGTCCATCTGTCTGTGTCTTTTAAGTGGAGAGTTAAATCCATTCGCACTTAGGGTTGCTATTGAAAGTTATTAACTAACTCCTGGCATTTTATCCCTTTTGTTTAGATTTTTTTTTTTAATTTAACACTATTTTATTGGCCTTTCTGTGGGAACTATATACAACAGCAGTGTATTTGGAGGTAGTAAACCATTATAAATGCTAAAGGAATTACGGAAAAAAAGAAAATCAATGAGAAGCATTAAAAGTATCTTATCTAATTTCATTTTATTTTATTTTTTATTGATTATGCACATTCATGGGGTATAAAGCTGTCTGGCCTGTCAATACCTGTGCCCAGGATGTGATGGTCAGATTAATAGTATCAGCATGCCCATTACTACAAATTGTGATTATTCCCCATGTCCCCCACCCAATAAATCCTCCTTCCTCCCCCTGGCAATCCTATGTATGCCCTGTCCCTCTGCAAGTCCCACACATCACTGCAGTCTTTCTTTCCTTTCTTCTTTCTCTCCTAGGTCCCACTAATGAGTGAGAACATGTGATATTTTTCCCTCAGTGCTGCTTGGCTTATTTCACTTAACATAATTTCCTCCAAGCTCTTCCACGTTGCTGCAAATGGCAGAATTTTATTCTTTTTTATGGCTAAGTAGTATTCCATTGTGTATATATACCACATTTTCCTTATCCAGTTGTCCATCAATGGACATTTAGGTTGCTTCAATATCTTCGCTGTTGTAAATAGAGCTGTGATGAACATGGGAGTGCAGGTGTCCCTTCAACATGATGATTTCCATTCCTTTGGGTATATACCTAGAAGTGGGATTGCTGGATCATAGGGTAGATCTATCTGTAGTTTTCTGTAGTTACTTGAGAAATCTCCACACTGTTTTCCATAGATGTTTTAAATATCTTTTGTTTCTTTCTTCCCCTTTTATTATTCATCTTCAATGTTGTTGGTTTTTTGAGGTGATAAGATTTAGTTTCTTTCTCTTTTTCATTCGCATTTTTGTTTTACCAGTGGGTTTTGTTCTTTCTTGTATATTTGTGATAGTGACTATCATTTTTTGGATTCTAGATACAGGACTCCCTTGAGAATTTCATGTGGGGCTGGTAGTGTGGTGGTGAACTCCCACAGTTTTTGTTTTTCTGAAAAATACATTATTTCTTCTTCATTTCTGAAGGATAGCCTTACTGGGTAAAGTATTCTTCACTGGCAGTTTTTTTATATTGGTATTTTGAATATATCATCCCATTTTCCTCTGGACTATAGAGTTTCAGTTGAGAAGTCTGTTGTTACTTTGATGGATGTTCCCTTACAGGTGACTTGATGCTTTTCTCTTGCTGCTTTTAGAATTCTTTGTCTTTGAGCTTTGACAGTTTGATTATAATGTGTCTCAGAGAGGATCTTTTTGGATTGAATCTGTTTGGTAATCTTTGAGCTTCCTGGATCTGAATATCTGTGTCTTTCCCTATATCTGGGAATTTTTCTGTTATTATTTCATTGAATAGGTTTTTAATGCCTTTTCCTTTCTCCTCCTCTTCTGGAACACCAATGATTCAGAAATTTGTGAGTTTAAGGTTGTCTGCTAGATCTCCTAAATTTTCTTCATTTTTTGAAATTTTTTTTTCCTTTTTTTTTTTTTTTTTTTTTTGGTCCACCTGTGTTATTTCAAAAAGACCAACTTTTTTTTTTTTCTTTTACTTTTTTGACGGGTAGGGGGATCGCAACCCTTGGCCCGGTGTGGTCCGCACCACGTTCAGCCAGTGAGCGCACCGGCCATCCCCATATAGGATCCGAACCCACGGCCTCGGCGCTACCAGCACCGCACTCCCCTGGGTGAACCACAGGGCCGGCCCCAAAAAGACCAACTTTGAGATCTGAAATTCTTTATTCTGCTTGCTGTAACCTACTGCTTAAGCTCTTGTTGTGTATTGTATTTCATTGAATGAATCCTCCAGTTCCAGGAGTTCTGCTACATTCTTTTATAAAGTGTTAATTTCTTTGTAGATTTCCTCCTTTACACCCTGGATATTTTTTCATATTTCAGTGTATTCTCTAATTGAGTTTTCTCTTATCTCTTTGAGTTTTCTTAAGATTATTGCTTGGAATTCCTTTTCAGTCATTTCAAGCATTTTCTGCTCTATGGAGTCTGTCACCTGAGAATTACTGTATTCTTTTGGTGGTGTCATATTTTCTTGTTTATTTATATTTCTAGCATCTCTATATTGAGGTCTGGTCATTTGGTAGAGCAGTTGCTTCTTCTGTTACTCTGGATTAGGTTTTGAGGAGAAACACTTCCTCTCCTTTTTGTAGGCTCCATGGCGACTCTCCTCGTGTCAGTGTAGTCAAGTGTACAGCAGGCTGCCTGCAGTGTGGTTCTGGCTGCTACTGTGGCCTTGAGTAGTCCTTGCAGTAGCAGTAGCTGTGGTGGCTGTGGTGGACCACCCACACAGAAGCAGTGTTTGTGGCACCCCTCCAGGCCTTCTGCCTTGGTCTCTGGTCTTGGGTCACACTCTTACTTTCTGTTTGGGTTTTGGAGGAGGGCTCTATAAGTAGAATATTAACTTTCACAGCTTCCTCTATATGTTATTTATCAGTCAACATGTTACCTACCACATAAATTAATGTTCTTTTCTTCAAATGGAACCATGATCCCGTGTTTAGAATGTTTCCCCTTCTTTTCTCCAGTAATCAAAAGATACATATTGTTAAAGAACCATTACATGTCCCTATATCATCAAAAATTCTTCATTTACTCAACAAACATTTATCACCAATGTCCTCTGTTTGCACACAGATAACAAAAATAAATGCCATAGCCCATGCCTTCGGGGTGTTTGCACTATACCTGGAGGAATAAAAGAAGTGAATAACTATGGTGCAGTATAGTGTGTTAAATTAGAAGCACAACACAGGGAATACCTATATATAAATGGTGTAGTTTCTCAGGAAGGATATCATTGAGGGGGAAGCATTTCAAATGGGTCTTGACAGATGTGTAGGAGTTTGCAGAGCTGACAAGCAAGAAGAGACATTCTAGGAATGTGAAACAGCTTCAGCAAAGGCTTGCAAGTTCTATTCTCTGTCCCTCCCTTGGCTACTCTAAGACGTATTAACCTTACTTTCTGTTTAATCTCAGACAAGGTTTTGGGTTGTTTGTTTTAATCTCTCTATGCTTCTTTTGACTCTCCCAATAAAAGAGAAATAAGAATAAATACACTACTTTGTAGGGTTGCATTAGAGATTAAAACAAAATAAATGTAAGATATTCAGCACAATGCCTGGTACATAGTGAACACTCCAAATGACATATATACACTGAGGGCATATGAAATTTATACACATACTTTAAATTTTGATTTTAGTAGTTTAATTAAAGTAATTACAATTAATTTAAATTTTTCCAAACTTTCTTTTCTATGCATATGTCTTGTCAAGTACATATAAGAGAGAGATGAGGGTTTATCTATTCTATACCCAGAATAACCAACAGAATGTTTTGGATACACATTATTGAAGGCTTAGTAATTTTAAATATTATTTATATAAAACAAATGCTTCTGAAAATGAAAAATCCATTGTGCAATTTTGACAATCAAAAGGTAAATCAAAACTTCCCTCTCTTAATGCCTATCATGGAAGACATACAGCAAAAAATGTGTTTTTACTATTCAAAAGTAGTGAGTCATTGCTAAGTGCTTCAGCTTGAGACTGAGGAATAAGATCAGACATAGAATTTAGAACTTTCCTGGGGTCTAATCATCACCTCACCATTCCAAGATGCCCATATAGGATCATAGTCATCCTCATAAGTGGGACATCCTCCCCCAAATTTCCTTCTCATTTTTTCCAGTATTTCACCTACCAGAACATTCTTTGAAAACAAACAACACATTAGCACTGTGAAAACCATCCTTCATGATTTGCAGGGAGCAATGTACAGATGGAAAGGAATGTCACATTCAAAAACAAAATGTCAGAATCATGTGACTAGTGGTTTGTTTTGTAAAATACTCTGTGTAGGCCAGGAACAAAAGTGACAGCCACTAAGTGATAAGTATTTTTCACTGGAAACACAGGAGCACACCAGGAAAAGGAACAGTGCTCTTTTCTCTATTTTGGATTACTTAACTAGAAACACACAATTATGTAATTAAATGATATGGTTTTCTGGTAAGGTAAATAATAACAAGGAAATAATGATGTGATGACAACAGGTCCTCAGCAGAGTATAAAAGGGGTTATTGGCCAAGGAAACCTCCAAACCCAAGAACTTCACTCTCCTGGAAACTCACCCAGAGCCTCCATCCTCTAACACCATGGTCAACTCCTGCTGTGGCTCTAGCTGCTGTGGCTCCAGCTGCTGCCGTCCCAGCTGCTGTATCTCCAGCTGCTGCCGCCCTTCCTGCTGTGGACCCAGCTGCTGTGGTTCCAGCTGCTGCCGCCCCAGCTGCTGCATCTCCAGCTGCTGCCGCCCTTCCTGCTGTGGTTCCAGCTGCTGCCGCCCTTCCTGCTGTAGTCCCAGCTGCTGTGGTTCCAGCTGCTGCCGCCCCAGCTGCTGTATCTCTAGTTGCTGCCACCCCTCTTGCTGTGGTTCCAGCTGTTGCAGCCCCTCCTGCTGCAGCTCCTGCTGCCCCTGCACCAGCTGCTGCCTGCGTCCGGTCTGTGGCCAAGTCTCCTGCCACACCAACTGCTATCGTCCAACCTGTGTCATCTCCACCTGCCCCCGCCCCATGTGCTGTGCTTCCCCTGACTGCTGAGCCCCCTGCCCTAGGCCCACTTCTTCCTTCACCTCTGTCTCCACAGACCTAGATCTTTCTTTTGTGCAGTACCTTAGAATGCATGAAATCTGTTGACTCCAGTGAGCCCACCACCACCTACTGACTGTGAGCACATTCTGGTTCATTTTAAACTCTCTCCCTTGCTGTCTTTTGTTTCCAATGTTGGTACCAAATGTAAATTAATTTGTAATCTACCAGCTAAGAAATTATCCCTATTGTCTAAATTTTTTATTTTTCTTATTATTTGGGGGATCTAGATTATTTTTCTGAACAAGGTAGACATTATCTGCAGCCTATGTATTGGCACTGATTTTACACGCTCATACCTGAGGGCTCATTTGTACCCTGTATATTCTCCTGGAGTAAATTCCTTATGTTCTGTTGCTTCTCTGCTTTCTAATAAACTTTTCTGCACATAAGAATTCATTGGCTTTATTCTCTATTGATTTCACAATCATTTTATTCAGTTACCAAGCAATTATATTTTGCATAAAGACACAGGAGGAACAACCCATGCTGAGATCAATTTGAAAATAAATGCTTTATCAAATATAGATAATTCAAGATGTTAGAACAAAAGCAGTGTGTGAATGTGTGTGTGCATGCACGCATGTGAATGTGTCTTAATATCCTAAATTAGGACAGATTTAATTTATGTCTTAGCTCTTAATTAAAACACATCCACCCTTAACACATTATACCTCATAATATCATTGGCCCTATTTTGGAGAAAAGGGTAAAACCAAATTTCTGAAAAAAAAAAAGTACGTGCTAATGAAAGAAAGAAATCTCCTGCAAAGAAGTCAAAGTACTCAATTCATTATATTCAATAAACAACATTTCAGAATTTATAATCACAAAGTGGGTTATATGTCCCACTGAGTTCTGCTGAGAAGAAATGCATATTTCATTGTATTTTTAAGGAAACATGCCTCAGCTAGATGGTGTGGTATGTCTCTGAGTGTGGTCTCTCAGGATTTTCCTTATAATTCAAACATCTCCACACTTAACATTCTAATGTATATTGATTCTGGAAGGCTGAAATTTCAAAACTAATTCTCTCTTTCTAAGTATTTCTAAGTATTGAAACTAGTTCATACCACTGAGTAGCTTTCAGCTGGGGTGTATATCAGAATTGGAATCTCCAGCAGTGGTGCCTGCATTTGAATTTGAAAATACACTACATATCTTGGCTATTGTAAATAGAGCTGCAGTGAACACGGAAGTGCAGGTATTCCTTCCACAGGATGATCTTAATTCTTTTGGGTATATACCCAGCAGTGGGATTGCTGGATTATATGGCTGGTCTATCTGTAGTTGTTTGAGAAATCTCCATACTGTTTTCCATAGTGGTTTTACTAATTTACAGTCCCACCGACAGTGTAAGAGCATTCCCTTCTCTCCACATCCTCACCATCATTTGTTATTCTCCATCTTTCTGATAATAGCCAGTCTAACTGGGGTGAGGTGATATCTCAATATGGTTTTAATTTGCATTTCCCTGATGAAATGTCCATCCACAGATGAGTGGATAAGGAAAATGTGATATATATATACACAATGGAATACTACTCTGCAATAAAAAAGAATGAAATTAATTCTGCCATTTACAGCAATGTGGATGAGCTTGCAGAAAATTATGTTGAGTGAAATAAGCCAGGTACAGACAGAAAAATACTATATGTCCTCACTCATAAGAGGGAGCTAAGAGAGAAAGAAGGAAGGAAAGAATGACCACAGTGGTGCATTGGACTTGCAGAGGGAGAGAACACACCTAGGGTTGCAGAGGGGAAAGGGGGAAGGGAGGGGGGTCGGGGATTAACTGGGTTTGGGACATGGGGAATAATCACAATGTGTGGTAATGGGTATGCTGATGGGTATTGATCCAGTCATCACATCTTGGGCACAAGTGGTGATGGTCAGCTTTGTACCCCATGAATAGTCATAACCAATAAAAAAAACTAAAAATATTTTTTTTAAAAAGAAAATACATTAAAGGTGATTATGACATGGCCCTTGGGTAGGAGCGTCTGCTCTTGATGTTTGTACTTACACTGAGATTACACTATTACTGGGCTCTGAAATGGCCCTAAGCTATTGCACCAATCAGATTTAAGATTGTTTGTGCAGACATCACTGGTACACATCACATCCTAATCATTGAGTTATGACATCTCCTTGAAATAATAAAATTCCCTAATTATATTTGTAATCGGCCTTATTTGAATCAAGAGGGAATACAGAAGGATGAAACATACTTTAAATTTGACACAGAAGTGTTAAGAGTAGTATCAGATATCATAAGTTCTAATATTCTGAGTAAATTTATGAACCATAATATTCGGTGTTTTACATATCCAAACTTTTCTGTTTATCAAATGAAAAAATGAAAAGCTTGTATTTTATTTTATTTTGTCTCTGGCATTGGAGCAGGTTAGCATTATGAGTTCATACTTGAATCCATACTTTGGAATCATCCTTTGGGACTTCCCTTCTATTGCATTCCCATCTCCCCTCATCAATCAGTAAAGCCAATGCAGAAAGGAAATGTATTAGCTCTCTGTTGCTTACAACAGAATACCTGAAACTGGATAATTTGTAAAGAAATAACATTAATTTCTTACAGATTTGTAGGTTGAGAAGTCCAAGGTCAAGAGGGTGCATCTAGTGAGGGCTATTGAAAAATAAGTCCATAATATACAACAGCTTTGAAATCTAAGTGGAGGCTGCCATGGACTCACAGCTTATGCATTCTACACAGCTGCAGAATCAGCACCATGCAGATGCTGCCAAGGCTTATTTGTTAGGGTCCTCTAGAGAACCAATAGCATTTATAAGTAAATATACATACAAGTATACACACAGAGATATATATAAAGAGATTTATTTTAAGGAATTGGCTTACATGGTTATGGAGGCATGGACTCCCAAAATCTGCAGTCAGCAAGCTGGAGACCAGGACAGTTGATAGTGTAGTTTCAGTCCAAAAGTCATCAGTCTCAAGCCCCAAAAAGAGCCAATGCTTTATTCACTCTGTGTCCAAAGGCAGGGAAATACTGATGTCAAGGCAGTCAGGCAGGAGCAATTCCCTTTTACTCAAACTGTTTTGCTCTATTAAGTTCCGTGGGCCCCTAGGCTGTCCAAAACACACTTTGAAATCTAAGTGGAGGCTGCCATGGACTCACAGCTTATGCATTCTACACAGCTGCAGAATCAGCACCATGCAGATGCTGCCAAGGCTTATTTGTTAGGGTCCTCTAGAGAACCAATAGCATTTATAAGTAAATATACATACAAGTATACACACAGAGATATATATAAAGAGATTTATTTTAAGGAATTGGCTTACATGGTTATGGAGGCATGGACTCCCAAAATCTGCAGTCAGCAAGCTGGAGACCAGGACAGTTGATAGTGTAGTTTCAGTCCAAAAGTCATCAGTCTCAAGCCCCAAAAAGAGCCAATGCTTTATTCACTCTGTGTCCAAAGGCAGGGAAATACTGATGTCAAGGCAGTCAGGCAGGAGCAATTCCCTTTTACTCAAACTGTTTTGCTCTATTAAGTTCCGTGGGCCCCTAGGCTGTCCAAAACACACTTTGAAATCTAAGTGGAGGCTGCCATGGACTCACAGCTTATGCATTCTACACAGCTGCAGAATCAGCACCATGCAGATGCTGCCAAGGCTTATTTGTTAGGGTCCTCTAGAGAACCAATAGCATTTATAAGTAAATATACATACAAGTATACACACAGAGATATATATAAAGAGATTTATTTTAAGGAATTGGCTTACATGGTTATGGAGGCATGGACTCCCAAAATCTGCAGTCAGCAAGCTGGAGACCAGGACAGTTGATAGTGTAGTTTCAGTCCAAAAGTCATCAGTCTCAAGCCCCAAAAAGAGCCAATGCTTTATTCACTCTGTGTCCAAAGGCAGGGAAATACTGATGTCAAGGCAGTCAGGCAGGAGCAATTCCCTTTTACTCAAACTGTTTTGCTCTATTAAGTTCCGTGGGCCCCTAGGCTGTCCAAAACACACTTTGAAATCTAAGTGGAGGCTGCCATGGACTCACAGCTTATGCATTCTACACAGCTGCAGAATCAGCACCATGCAGATGCTGCCAAGGCTTATTTGTTAGGGTCCTCTAGAGAACCAATAGCATTTATAAGTAAATATACATACAAGTATACACACAGAGATATATATAAAGAGATTTATTTTAAGGAATTGGCTTACATGGTTATGGAGGCATGGACTCCCAAAATCTGCAGTCAGCAAGCTGGAGACCAGGACAGTTGATAGTGTAGTTTCAGTCCAAAAGTCATCAGTCCCTAAAAGTGCCCCGAGTGACTCACAATAGCAAGTCCATACTTGCAAACGAGCTTTATGTTGGTCACAAATGTTTGTTTTGGAAGGTCTTTGTTGGGCTTGACAGAGTCATGAACTTGTGTCCCAGAAAGCTGTAGATAACCATTAACTCATGTATTCAGCAAATGGTTGAGACCGCCCCTGTTCTGTTCCAGACAATATTCATGAACCTCTGTACTACTTGTTCTGATTTTTGCTTCATTAACCTGTTTTCAGCCCCGTGCTTGACCTTTGTTCTCTCCAGTGTCCCCAAACCTTGACTCTCTCATTAAATTCTCTAAAGGAAAACCTCTTGTCTCTCCTGGTGGGAACTGGGGGAGGACTAATGACCTGACTTTATAGGGTGGGAGAGGGACCCTGGGGGTCTAGCAGTGCTCTTGTGTTACCCCACCTTCCATATCATCTGGTGCCTCCAGATTCTGAGCCCTTCTGAGGATTCAAGGCAAATTGACTTTACACTCAGTGGGGTTAGGTTTGCACCCACTTACACCATAGCTCCCCTTGTTACATTAAGTTAGTAACCACTGTTTTCTCCAAAAATTTGTTGGCAATTCTTATCTGCTATTGTTTCCTGTCCTAGGAAACTATAATTAGTGTTTTTCTTTTTTCA